TATAAACAAGTTAGCTGAGCGAGCAATAAACTAAAAAATTTTATTACCATAAAATTAAAAATGTATACCATTTTTACAAAACATATTAGCACTAAAACTAACATTAAGATTGGGGGAATTAATTCGGATTCTTGAGTGGTAAAATGTTTTAATAAGGCGAAACAAAGAGTTATTAGAAGCATCAAACTTTCTGTTTATGAAGTGATTATTTGCAGAGAGGAGGGTTTTGGGGATAATTAGCGCATTTGTGTTTATTTTATGAGTTATCAAATTTATCAAAAATTCTCCAATCATTTGCAAAGTCTGAAACCGTAGATCAGTTATCATTAAATCCGGCTACTATAGTAACACAATTCAGTTTCTGCGAGGGGTAGCGCGAGACAGTAGTGGCCAGGTCGGCTAGCCTTGTACGAGTGAACCGTGGCACCGGCATCTTTGGGGCTGCAGTACTTGGTCCTTGAGGTTCCTATTACCACTTTCCTGCTCCACTTGGGTAGCCACTTCGGCCTGTACTTCGGCACGGACATTCACTAAACAAGGTACAAAAGAGGCAAAACAAGAGAAAGAATAGATTGTACTATGGATTGTAGAGAAATGGACTTAAAGAACGAATAACAAAAAAGAAATGATAGCAATTACAACCTGTCTTTTCACGAGTGGAGATTCCGGCGGAGATGTCCGGATAGAGGGGGAGTATCGCGGCTTGATGAGCTTGTCTCTAAAATCCCGTACCGGGCCTTCTTCTCACAAGCGTATGAGCGTATGATATCACATGAAACTATTTAATAAGTTTATCACAACAATTAGGCTAACCTATGGTAAAAAACGGCAATTGGGAGAGTTTTAAACAACATTTGCCTGCTGTTTCGGTTTTCTAATTAAAACGTACATGTCTAAATCGAAATTTTGACTCTGAAACTTCCAGACAAATTAATTTTAAAAAGGTTAATTAATTTTAGAGGTTAAAAGTATTTTAATCTTAATAGTAATTTAGAGGTCAACTTTGATTGGCTAATTTTTTATCATGATAGTTTAGAACCAAATTGTATGTAAATTATTGTAAATAACATTTGTAAATTGATGTTTTATCGTCATTTAGATTAGTTTATTGTAAAAGCCCTGACGTTGCACATAGTTGCGAAAACGTTTGAAATTTATTTTTAGCAAAAATTTTCTCAATTTTACTTGTAAATTCGTTATAAACCAAAAATCGAACAGCTTAAAATTCCAACTGTTTTCCCATTAAAGGGCCAGTATGAATATTTTTAATGATTTTCATCCAAGTATAGGGAATTTTTATAGTGTTTTTTTTTATCGATCCGTAAAATATGGCCAATTTTCTTTTAAGTTACCGAAAGGTTTCATATTGTAGCAGCTAGTTCCCTGTTCCACAGCATCAACACCCTTAACACATGTGAGAAAAAGCAATACGAGAGCCTTGTTACGGCAATTTCTGGTTTTTCCCTTAATAACAACTTGCCGAACCAAAGAAAGAACCTCCGACGATTACTGGAAGACAGTCCACTGAAGGAGAAAAAAGTGGTTGTGTGGCACGACGTGGTGAACAACACCATTAGCAGCCACAGAAAAAAAAACTATCGCCCAGTCGGTGTCGAGGAACTGACAAAATATTTGAAGTCGAAGAAGCAGCAGATTTTGGCGATCGTTTATTGCAGAAGGGAAGGAACGCCCGACTTGTTTAGTCAGCTTCTCGGCACAGGAGTGCTCATTATTCCAGCTTTAAAAAGGCTACTCTCCAAGAGCAAGCAAAACGACCCGGGGCAGCTCAAGGAAAATTTGAAGCTGCACCAGAGTGCTGAGTTGGAGTTGAAATCTCTGCGGTTGGTAGTGGCACACAAAGAAAGTCTGTCAGCGCTGATTGAGTTAGACTATTTAAAATTCTTTAAAAAAGTTCAAGTGTCTGTACGTAGACTGAAGTTTCTGAGAAAATGTCTGAAAAACGATATAATACCGGAATTTTTCAAATTTAGGGTCCCCGAGAACGGTTTTTTTTCGGACCAAGCTGTGCATAATTTTCAATTTAAACTACTAAGGACTGAAACTTCTAGGTCAAAAGAGGATAGGAAAATTACGAGGAGATGCTAATGAAAGCAAAATCACTGGTGCAAAAAAGAAATTGACGAACAGTGGTGGGCATCCATTTTCCGCTTCGTGAGGCGTCAAGTTGAGGCAAGCTTAAAGACAACATCAAAAAACCATAGAAAAAGTTAGAAAAACTGTCCGAGAGACAAGATAAACTTCTTGGGGGAGAAATGAGCGATCAGTTAAGGTACTTGATAACATTGAACTACCTGGATGGGTATATGACGTGCTATCAATGGGCCCGATGCATCCCATTAGAGACAAATTTAACGAAACACACTTTTTGGCGGATATCAACTATTTCCTCTCACAATTGAAAAAATCAAAAAACATCTGGTGAAACGTTATTTGAAATAGAAGCCGCGGCAAAAGCATATGCAAAAAACGTAAGGCAAATCCCAAGAGACAAAGCCGTTGACAAAACGAGGAAATATCTCAAAGATAATGGGTTGCTGGCTGTGCCTTTTGAGAAGAAGGTTGGTTTTTGCATAATGAGGAAACAAACGTATGAATCAATTGGAATCCTTGTTGCAATCTGCTCAGTTTGCGAAAAAAGATGCAACCACTGATGAGGTTATACTGAAAATTGAGAAGGAACTTAACAAAGAATTACTAGCTATGAACAAAAGAAACGAGATAAGTGATCAGTTATATTCTAAGATGAGATCAACAGGGGGCAGCCCGCCCGTTTGTACGGTTTAGCTAAGGTACCCATGGATGAGACACCCCTACGACCAGTACTATCACTTCCAGGCAGCTCGTATGAGAATCTCAACAAAATGCTTGCAAAGTTTTTTGACAACATCGATGGAGCAAATATAGAAACCAATACTAAAGAGGCTAGAGAAACAATTGAAAACATTGCTCCAAATCCGGATGAAACCATAATATCTCTTGATGTGAAAAGTTTCTACAGCAATGTTCCCCTGAAGGCGGCAGCTGAAATTGCTTTACAGAAGCTGTACAGCCAAGAGTCTCCTCCTGAAATTCAAAGAGCAACCTGAGAAAAGGCTTTTGAATATGGCGGTCAGCAAAAAATATTTCACGTGTATCGATTCATGGTATGTACAAGTTGATGGTTTAACAATGGGCGCGTCCCTCAATGTAATTCTGGCAAACTTAAGGCTGAAAGAGTACACGTTTGCTCGAAGACAAGAAATACCAGTGGGAACGGAGGTACAGCAAGTTAATGACAAAAACGGCTTGTGCCCATGTTGCAGCAGAAAAGTCACATATAGATCAAAGCTGGTTGAATGCGGGAGTTGCCGAAACTGGTATCATCTAAAATGCGGAAAAATATCCGATGGCGTATACGCATCAACAACCGAGATATTCTGGTACTGTGAAAGCTGCTGCCGAGCTAAGAACAAGGAGAAGGATACTCCCCAGGTGAAATTGTTCCTCAGGTGTGTGGATGACATTGTTAGAACAGTCGGTGGTGAGCCGAGTTGTCTTCTCGATGCCGCCAATTCTCTTCATCCAAAATTGCAGTTCACTTTAGAGAAAACAATTTCCGAGGGTAATTTGCCGTTCCTGGATTTGAACATAAATGTATCGCAGGGTAGACGTGTAACTTGCAGTTGGTACCAAAAACCAACAAATACAGGGACTATACTGAATTATAGAAGCTGCGCCCCAACTCAGTATAAGCGTAGTGTTATCCAGGGCACTGTACACAGGGTTTTTAGGAGTACATCCAGCTGGGAGCAATTTGATAAGGCTATGGAAACTAATAGGGCGCAATGGCTGACAAATCAGTACCCTGAAAATCGGTCCGCAAAGTTGGCTTCAGACGCATTGTGCAAGATCATCGAGGGCAAGGGCAAGCTCCTGGATAGTGAGAGATGTTTGTTAGTTCAATCACCAAAGGATGTGAAGCCCCCAATGCTAATGGTGCAGTATAGAGGTAAACAGGGCCAATATTTTGCTAACAGGTTACGAAAATTAACTAACGTTCAAATGGTTTTCACCACAAGAAAACTAGAATCATGTTTACCATCACTGAAGTCAGCATTTTCTAATGACCTCAAGTCAAGAGTGGTTTATAAACTGTCCTGTAGTTGATGCACTTCCACCTATGTCGGACAAACTGTTCGACATTTGACCACTTGAATTGAGGAACATAAGAAAGCAGACTCACCGGTAGGCCTCCACATTCAGCAATGCCAACTTGAGGGAAATAGCGCAGTTCGTAGTTGGGAAATTATAGATAGGTCAAACAACCAAACGAAATTGCTAACTCTAGAGGCAAAACATCAGGAAGGAGAAACCGGGCTTGAACACGCGCGATGAGTTAAGGAGCAGGGAGTTAACACTGAAAATTTAATCCGAAAATATATTTGGTTTTTTATTTAAAATGTTCATGTCCAAATCGAAATTATGACTCAAAAAATTCCAGACAAATTAATTTAATTATTTTTAGAAGTTAAAAGTATTTTAATCTTAATAGTAATCTAGAGGTCAACTGGGATTGGCTAATTTTTTGTGATGATGGTTTAGAACCAAATTGTATGTGAATTATTGTAAATAACATTTGTTAATTGATGTTTTATTGTCATTTAGATTAGTTTATTGTAAAAATCCTGACGATGCACATAGTTGCGAAAACGTTTGAAATTACTTTTTAGCAAAAATTTCTTTAACCTATGGTAATTTAACACGGAAAATTTCAATGCATCTAGAAAATGTTTGCATCGCCCTTGGTTTTTTTGTTTATCAATATTTGTAATTAATACGTTAAATTGTCCCTCATGATAAACCTTATTCCATTAATATCTGACATACACTTGCCTGTTAGCAAATTATTTTATTTGGCAATTAAAGTGTTAATTTAGTTTTCTTTTTTTTTCTGTTTAGTCAGAAGGTTCTGCAGTATAAGGCGTTGTGAAGCTTGATTTTAGATTCATATGGCTCCAAAATGTCCTTCACTCTCAAGTCAGTTTCAACCAAATCTTTTGTCCCTTCCTTTTCCAACCCAAAAGTATTTGATCTCAAAATGTTGCAGCAATTTTTCTTGGACTACAGGAGTTGTGTCATAACAGGAGCTGGTATTTCCACTGAATCGGGCGTTCCTGACTATCGGTATGTCATATAATCTGATTACTTTACTTTTTGCTTTACTTCTTGATTAATTTTACGATTGGTTGGTGCAATGAAGTTCTTGTTCCGACCACTTCACGATGTGTGGAAGGAACTATGGCTTTAGGCGTTTTTTTCTGACTGATTTTGATTACCTCAAAGAAACTCAAAGGTTCAAGTGTGTTATAGTATAAAATCTGGTCCAAATTCGGATTCCGAAAAAATGGTCTGCGTTTTTTCCGAATTTACTACAAAATGTTTTTTTTTGACACTGGGAATCAAATTATCGCTCACTATTTTTTGTTTCAATGGCAATCTAATTATTGGGCTTCTCATTGCGGTTTGTTTCTCTTGCGAGAGCAAGTGACTTGTAATCGGGAACTAGACTTTTTACCGTGACCTACTTTTTTTGCAAATCTGTGAGAAATAGAATTTGATTTATCATGGAACCTCAACAATTTCTTGGTCAATTCCTACTCTTGGTCTAGTGGTAAAGCGCGGCTAGACCTTGTTTTTATATATATTAATTGGTTTTGTTTTCCGGGAAATGGATTTTCGCTGGCCGGCTTAATTTTTAAAGCCTGGAATTTTCTGAGTTTAATATTTTTTTTTTTTACTATAATTCGAAGTCGTTCTGTTTTTTTCCCCGTAAATTTACTGATTCTGGTTTTGTTTTCAAGCTCAAATTTTTTTGCCTTATTCATATCGCCTTAGACATCTGATAGTTCAGGTTTTTAAAAGAATAATTTTCTAATGATTTTTCTTCCGAACATTGAAAATCGGGAGGAACTTTGTGTTCGGGTGTATTTTAGTTAGTCTTTTTTTAAACTTTTTGTTTCTACGCAAAATCAAGGAACACAATTAATCATCGGATTGGGTCGAGTGATATTCCACATTGAAGCCCTTCCAGTCGTGATTCGAACTACTTTAAAAAGTTTTTGAAAAAATTATTTCAGATTTGATAGAAACCGGTTTGGAAATTTTGTTTTTTCATTTAATTTCAAGCTAATAAGGTGAGCATGGAGGCTTACGTTAGCTTATTTATGTTATTTTAGGCCGTGAAAATAGCTTTATTTATAGTAAAAAATTGTTTTTTGGAGTTTTTCAGCTCCAATTTGGGAATCAAAAATTCAAAAAACTTTCTGCATTTTTTTCGTTTTTAAGGTTATTTTTCTGTATGGACCCATATTTCTATGACTGTCGATTATGCCTATTTTTTCAGATCTTTTCATCACGCCACGCAGAAAAAGCTATACTAATTTGAATAAACCTTTTGTAATGTTTCACGTTATGGTCGGAACATTCTGTGCTACTTGCACAGTAACCGGCTTTCCTTGTTTACGTTTGGCGTGTTCGAGTTTTAACACTTGATTTCTCTTGAGGACTTTTTGGAGTTCATTTTTCTTCAGTATGTGTAAAATTGAAAAAAAAATCCCCGGGAAAATTGAGTTGTCAGATCTTCTTTTCCTGCTCATGTTTTGATGATTTAGTTGCCCTCTCACGGAATTTTCTTGTACTGTAACCCTTTTTCATTGTATTTGCAAGTGTTGTTGTTTCACTCCTGTAATATGTAATTTTGCTCTGGCTCTGACTTTGTATATTTTTTTTTCAGTGTTTTTTTTTCGCTTTAAAATTTATTCAGCGCAAATGGTTTTAGCCTACGGTATTTTTTGCTTTTATTAACTTATTTTGTGTTCATTGAAAACCTAAAATTTGAAACCCTAATTATTCAAAAATGTATGTCCAAATCTGGGCTCTTTTTCTTTTCCCCCCACCTGCAAATTTTTTCATGTAAATTTGTTGACCACATTGTCCGATTGCTATGAAAATATACATACAGACTAATGAGGCCATGACAAACATATTTGGTCTTCATACTCAACCTCGTAAAACCACTCGTTACACTAATAGATTTAAGGTCGCGTGAGGTGGGGGAAAAAGGAAAAAGAGCCCAAACCTGTTATGGCTTTTTTTAAACTTGGTGCGCCTTTACCCACGCTTTGTCAAATTTTTGACCGCTGGTTAGATAAAAAAAGCTTATTTTTTGCTTTAGGTGTGTTTCGACTGTTTTTCTTCTGCTTCATCTCTGTATTCAAGTTGAGTTTTTTACATGATAAATCGAGCCTCTGAATTTGGCAATTTCAATTTTTGTAGTTATCGAGCTCTTTCTGCCTTTCATTCAGAATAATGAACGTGTTGAGTACTCTTATATAGATCTTGCTGTTTTTTTTGTTCAAGAAAAAGTTTCAAATTTTCTTCACGCTCAGTTTTATATTTTCGCGCTTTGACTTGTGATTTTTTTTCGAGCTCAGTGCATTTTCTTTGTTATAAACTATCGAGCAGCAAAATTGTAAAGATCACGAAAAACGTGATCGACTTCTGATTTCGAAAATGGAAATTAATTCTCAGATTTCCCAGCGAAATAAAAGTTTTGCCTATTGATCCAGTTTTTCTCAAACGGAGTTAATTCTAACAAAAAAGTGTCCATCATAAATTGCTCTACAAATTCAGGGAGCTTTAGGGCCATCTATTTTTTTCTTCGAATTTAAAAAGTTGAAGGTTTTTCAAAAAACTATTCAGTTTTTTTTCTGTTTCCTTGCGTTCATTACCTTTTTTCAACTGTCAGTTGGCTATGTTTTAGTGATTGCGAAGTGCAGCTTTGCCTGTGGCATAAATTTTCTGTACTGTAGCAAATAGTCACAGGATTGTTTGTATTTTGGTTGTTTATGAACAAAGTCATGCAGATCACCCTATTTATCCGATATATATATTTTCTCAAAAATCGCGGCATTTCTCTTTAACCTGAATGAAATGCCGCAGAAAATTCTTTTGTCCGACCATTTGAAAAATGTTGAACTTTGTATTCGGGTGAGTTCTAGTTTTTTTTTGTTTTCTACGCTAAATCAGATAAGACAAATAATTATCAGAAAGTGTCGACTGATATATCATGTCCTTTTAGTCGTGATTTGAACGACATTAAAAAGAAAAAAAAATGTGTTTTTTAGACTATGGTCAGAACATGTGTTACTTGCACAATAACTGGTTCTCCTTGTTTCTGAAATTGTTTTAATTCCCAGCGGGTTAGAACATATTTGTTGAGTGTAAGCCTATTTTCTTAAGTGTTATCAGGTGGGTTTGTTTGTTCTCCTTTATTGTCGCAAGTTACCTGAGTTGAACAGGCTGCTAGGTGATTTAATCAATTTTTATGAATCGAAATTTGGGATGATTAGTTTTAATTTTTACAACTGTCTGTCCGCTGGCATTTTTGACCTTCGTAATCAAAAAAATTTTCAATGTATTCGTAAGACTTGTTGAAAAAGTCCTAGCGTCGCAGAACTGGCAAATTCTTAACAATTCTTTAAAAATGCGTTCAGATAGTGCGATTCAAATTATCCGGACAAAACCGAACAAAATTCGAACTTTCAAACGCGTTTTTCTCAAATTGGGTCAAGATTAGAGAAAACGTGAGGCGAATAAAAGTTGCTTTGATTTTAACCAAAATTTTTATGATGCAAATTTCTATGGGTCATTTTGGGTTTTTATTATGTTAATCAAGAATTACTGTAACACTATAATTTAAATTGATAAGAAAATTATATCAAAAGAAGCTTCTTACGCAGCTCACCAAACTTCCAGAAGGGTATATTCTCTTAAAATCTTTATAAGAGAACATAATTTTGCTTGAAAGCCAAAAATATCATTTTTACTATATGAAACTCAAAATATGTTTAAAAAATTCAACGTTTCGCGCACATTTTTTGAGATTAAATCCTGCCTGAATTTTGTTGAGCTGTGTAAGAGGCTTTTTGACATAACTTTCTTTTCAATTAACTTGGTTGTTTTAGCGTTATTTTTGATTAATTAAAAAACCTAAAATGACTCATTTATTAAATTGTACCGGAAAGTTCTGTTAAAATTCCAAGCAACTTTTGTTTCAGTTTTGTCTTATCTCCACCCAATTTGAAAAAAAACCGCATTTAAAGTTTCCAATGTTCGTTATGTCCGGATAGTTTAAATCAGCACTGTATTTCCATGAAGATGTTACGATGACTGAAATTTTTTAGTTGCTATTTTCACAAACGGAGCTTGTGCTATAATGCGAGAACACATTTTTCATGCACAGTTCTTTTGTTTGTGAGTTAATATTGACTCATTTCGAAATTAATATGGGTTCATAAAAAGTTATCTTGGCTTATATAAATTACACTCAAATCTATCTGTGTTCGTTATGAAAGCAAATACGGCCAAAAATTTGTCTTTTATTTTTGAGAGCTATTCATGTTGTAGCTTTAGTCCTTTTGACTGCTACTTTCATCTCTAATATCTTTCAAGTTCAGAGGTAGTGGGACTGTATGCGAGGAGTAACAGCAGACCTCTTCAATACAGTGAGTTTCTCAGATCCTCTGACGCGAGAAGAAGATATTGGGCCAGAAACTACGCAGGGTGGGGTCGGTTCAACTCGATCACGCCCAATGTCAACCACAAGATCATTAAGTAAGTAGTGGTTTCATTTATCTTTGTTCAGTTGTGAACTGGATTATTCATTGGAAGCTTATTTGTATTTCAAGTATAATTGTACGTCTGATTGTATTCAAAATAGAAGTTTGACCTTGATTTAATTAGTTTGTTATGAACCAGAAGTTTGCTGAATTGTAGAATCGAACGAACATGACTGTATGTTTAGCAAGTTGGAGAAAAGTGGCCGAGTGAATTGGTTGATTACGCAGAATGTTGACGCGCTTCACAGACTGGCAGGGTCTGAAAGGTTCAGCGAGATACACGGTTGCATGTAAGTTGTTAAGCTTGATTAATTGATTCAATCAGCATATACTTATTTACACAAGCCAGCTAGCAGGTGTAAGGTCATATTACGAATCTTGTTTTTCTAACCCAATTCACAAATATAAGTGCTCGTTCGATGGAACTTCTGCTGCATCGCATGCGAGAAACGTGCTACTCTTAGGTCGGTGGTTCGAATCCGTTGCAGCTGTTTTCAGAATTTTAAGTGCCGATCTGCCTCCGTTTTGAATCAAATTACAGCCGCCCATAACTTCTCCACGCCCGCTATGGGGGAGATGTTAACTTGGCTCTACGTAGTAGTTTCCAACCAATCAGACTAATTGGAAAGTTAAATTAGTCCGTGCTGTTTCAACCCGAAATAGATCCAGGAGTCCGATCTACTCTTAACTTATTTTGGGAGGAAAATAAGAACTTGATACAAATTTTTTTACCAAGTCCATCTGACATGCACATTTAAAATTGAATTGCAAAGGCTGCAATTTGGGGCTGTTTAAATGCTCGAAGAGATAATGCCTGATACCGTTCGAACAATCAGGAATCCTCTACCTTGAAATTTCAAATTGAACTAAGTTTTACCCATAATTTTAACGATACTTTGCGCTTGCGATCAACAAGTGTTCTGAAATTGTAACCTAGTTTTGTTTTCAGGGTAACAAATTATTTCACAAAAATGTGATGTCTTTTTTATTAAGGTGCTCAAATCAAACTAGTCTGAATCCTGTTTTGAAAATGCAGAAACGAATACCAAGAAAATTTTTAAAAGATACTGTGATGCCGTTCGGAACCTGATTATTGAAAATAAAAAATTCAGTCAACTTTTGAAAACCAGCAGCTTGCATTGTATAAGCATTGAAAAATTGTACAATTTCTTCAATGTTTTAAATGTGTATAAAAATGTGTTTGTTATTGATAGTCGACATCGGTTCAATGTTCATAGGATTTACAACTTCTACCTTTATGATAACAAAGAATTAAACGAGATTTTTTTAAATGAAGTATCGTGCGTTTGAAACAGTGCTCTCTAAGTTTCATTTTTTAAAAACCAAATCATTATCGCGGAGGTTTTTTATGTATATCTGTTAGTCTTTCTTGATGTTAAGTTTCAGTTTGCGTTTTGTAACTCGAAGCTTCTCTTGAACTTGTTAACTGGTTACTGCTGCTCAGATGGGTGTCCTCTGTCCAAAAAGCCTCGATTCAGTTCTACTTGTGTTACGGAGAAACTAGGCGCATGTCACATTTAGTAGAGGCAATAACCATCAAGTGAACAAGTTCAAGAAAATTGAATAAACTGGTTATAAGCGCGTACGACTACCGATTTTCAAGACCAAATTGAGCTTAATGCACTTATTGGCAAATTTATGATTTTCTGTGGTTTCTGTTGAAAGATTCGATCAATGTCTTTGTTAAAAAATTTTTCGTCCTGATGGTGTACATCAGTGGCGCTTGTTTGAAACGGTAAAAGTTAAAAGCGCAGAGTTAAAATCATTTAGTTTTTAAAAGTAATGAACGTAATGAGTACTCTCATATAGGTCTTGCTGATTTTTTGTTTTTTTTTTCAGGAAAAAGTCTTATTTTCGCGGCTTGACTTGTCATTTGTTCAAGTTCCGTGTATTTTCATTGTTAAAAGGAAGGCAAACTCCAGTATCGAACAGCAAGATTTTTCCACTATCGAACGGCAAACGTGATCGACTTCTAATTTCGAAAATGGAAATTAATTATCGGATTTCTCAGCGAAATAAAAGTTTTAACCATTGATCCAGTTTTCGCAAATTGGGCTTACTTTAACAAAAATGTGTCCATCATAAATTGTTCTACAATTTCAAAGAGCTTTAACGACATCCATTTTTTCTCCGAAGTTTAAAAGTTGAAGGTTTTTGAAAAAAATCAAGTCGTTTTTTTTTTCAGTTTCCTTGCGTTCATTACTCTTTTCGAACTGTCAGTTGGCTGTGTTTTACTCAATTCTCTTTTTGTCTTTCCTCAAAGACTTTTTTGAAATACAAAGATTTAAATAATTTGATGCCCAGTTTGTTATGAGACTTGTCACTCTGCTGGAATTCTTTCTAAATAAATATTTTTTGTAAATTTGCTTGTTTTAAGCCTAAAATTTACAATCTTCGGGTCAGTATGTTTCAGGTTTTTCATAGGAGGGCGATTCTAGGATTCTCTAGAGGGGAAGACGTTAAAAAATCGAAATTTGTGATGATTGTTTAGGTTGTCCAGATTGATTTCCTAGCTCTCTCAAAGCACCATGAGGAGACTATTTTAGTCAATTTGAATGCCTGGCGCGCTACACAACTCATAAATAGCAATACAGGCACCGAAGGTGCGTTAGAAAATATTTAAAGCTGATTGATTAAAATTTGATATCGTAAAATACTACTAAAGGGGTCGCTTTGGTTGATCAGGGGTTCGGTTGGCTCCCTTGCGAATGTGTGTCAAGGGCTCTAAAATTTCGAGTTTGTACACTTTTGAAAGCAAGTGTCTTGCATTCGGGAACTAGAATTTTTGCCGTAAACAACTTTTCTTACACATTAGAAATTATGAAGTTGCTTTTGTAGTGAGCCTTAGCAATTTCGAGACCTTTTCCAAGTTTGCTTAGAGGTAACGCTGATGCTTTTGTACCCTAACGTCTCGGGCTCGAGTCGCGGCCGGACCTTGTTTTATTTTTCAGCATGTATGAAATTGGATGTTTTTCGGGAAAAGTTGAATTGTCGGACTTTAGTTTGTCTGCTTATGTTTTGTCGGCATAGTTGCCACATCTTTGATTTGCTAGTGTAAGTTTCGGTCAAGTTGGATTCCACCGCCTAAAGTGGTCGAATCAGGCACTAGTTCGCCTTTGAATGGGCACTAGTGCCACGGCACTAGTTCACCTTTGAGTCGGCAAAGTTGTTTTTAACATAACATATAAGCCATATTGCAGCAAAACTGAAAGAGCGTTTTTCATTTTTTGAAAAGTTAAATGGCAATCAGTCGCTTTTCGGACATCGATATTCCGCTGATACATATGTCAAAAATTGAAGGTCTTAAGTTGTAACTTCATCACAATCAGATAGGTTTATTAAGTTTAAAATAAATAAATTGTTTATAGGCCGAGTGAAGGTCACGGAAAACGTGATTTTCTTTTTTAAATTCGAAAGCTGAAAATGATTCAACAGTTTTCAATCATACTTTTTTGGTTTCCTTGTTCTTTAAACTGTTCCACCTATCTGGTGGCTATCTTAGTTTTTAGGAAGTTATGAGCAGTTGACCGTGCTTGCCTGAACGTGCTAGATAATTTTAGTTTTGTCAAAAAATGCAGATCTAAACAAAAAAGTTGTTTTAGGCATGAAGTGGAGTGTTTGAGTTGTGAGAAGTTGTTCGCAAGAGATGATATACAGATCAAAATTAAAAGAGAAAACTCCGAGTTTGACTTTACTATTTTGGAGATATCAGCGGATGGCGATGTGTTCATACCAGGTACTTGAAATAGCTAAATTCAAAAAGTGTTAATTGCTATTTTTTCTTCCTTTTTCACATTAAAATTTGGTATAAACGCATAAATTTTTCGTCAATAATGAGTGCGATGTATTATTGAAAACCTTTATTTTTCCATTCTGGTCAATATGTTTCGGCTTGCTTGTTATATCAACTTATTAGCCTCTTTTGGCGTCGCTTGATGCGCGAAAAGTTTTTTGTGTGCCCATTTGTGTGTGCGCGCGTGAGTGTGTGTGTGTTTGTGTGCGGGCATGTGTGTGTGTGTGTGTGTGTGTGTGTGTGTGTGTGTGTGTGTGTGTGTGCGTAATATATATATGTGTGTGTGATTGTGTATGAGGCTATGAAGTACGTTAAGTTTTTTAATTACTTTTGCGTTAAAAAAAATCGGCTCAAATAATTTCTACTCAGGTTCTTTCGGCTTGGTGAATTTTGTTCCGGTGCTGATTTGGCATTCTATTTTTTGAGCAGGTTGTTTCACAACTATCTTCATTCATTTTGATGGATCTCGTTGTATCCCAAGTGGTGCGAAGCTCAGCTTCGCCTGTGTTGAAACTCTTTCTTTTCTCAAACAATGCACCGCCAATTCTGAGCTTATTGATTCAATTAAAAGAACATGGTGTAGAGGCGTTCCATACGTAGACTTGTTAACCCTATTTTTTTTGTTGTTGAAAAGCAGGTATGATTTAGGAAAAATCTATTTTCCGAAATTTTAGTTTTTTTTCAGAAGTTTTTCCACTTGAAAACTGCCCCGTTAAATCTGATATTGAGTTCATTTAAAAGAACGTGAAGTAGGATTTTAATAACATGAGAGACATTTTCCTTATTTCAATAGAAACCTTTAAGGGTATGGGTTAAGACCATTTTTTTAATAAATTTTGTAAAAACTCCGTAATAGATTACGCAAATTTTATTATGGCACCAGTTTTTTTTTCAGCTCAACAGGTGGTCAACCAGCATTTTTTTTGCCTTAATTGCAGCCGGTAATTGACGTTTTTTAAATTATTAACAGTAATCAACGTATTAATTACTCCTACGTAGGCCTTGGTGATTTCGTTTTTTTTTTTTTCAAGAAAAAGTCTTTACCCTTGCGATAAGCAAGGGTATTGCAGTCGGGTACTCGACTTTTTTCCCGTAAATAATTTGCTCATAGGACTTATTTCATCTCCTCGATTTCTTCATCTTCTGACATACTCATTTTTTGATTATTCAAATAAAACTTTATAATTTTAATAGTAATTAGGTAAAACCCTTTTCAGGTTGTAATGGTTTTTCAAAAAAAAATTCTCAATTTTTTTCGGGTTCGTGGTTTTGTCATAGTTTCTGTCGGTTGATTGTCCGGTTTTTGAACAGCTTCTTAAAAATCTGATAGGGGTTTTATCGGCTTACTTTCTAGAGCGTGTGTTTTGTTCTAATTTAAACGTTTTTTTTATAACTGAAAGTTCAGAAATTTATAAAGAAGTTTTCGTTTCTTTTTTAAATATATTTTTTTCCAGTTCAAGTTGTAGAGGCTCAGTCAAGTTATGTTGCATAATTTCTAGGGCAATTATATTTGCGTGCCTTTATGTGTTTCAGATTCGATGAGTCCTAAAATTTTTTATAAAATTTTTGTATTTTTTTATGACAACAGTTTTGGTTTCGCCTCAAACAGGTTTCGACCCAAAATTTGTTGCCGTTTGGTAACCAATTGTCATCCCTTTCTAAGGCTCTTTATGAACTTTTTTCTTTAGAACCATGAAGTTTTTGTAGATGTATCTGTTTCAACTTTTCAATCTTTTTTTTTTTCAAGTAATTTATTTTTCGGATTTTTTTTTTCAACTTTATTTTGCGAAACTTTTCTTTGCGTCAAGCCATAGCTCTGTGCTTTGCCTGTGTAATTTTTTTTTCACGCTCAATTTGGGTTTTTGCGGTTCGACTTGATTTTTTTAAAGTTTACCTCGTTTTCTTTGTTAAATGGAAGCAAACTATACTATCGAACAGCAAGAATATAAAGCTCACCAAAAACTTGATCGACTTCTTTTTTCGAAAATGGATTTTAGTTATCAGATCCCCGAGCTAAAAGAAAATTAAATCAATTGATTCAGTTTTTTCATATTGGGTTCATTTGATCAAAAAAGTGCCAATCGTTAATTCATGACTAAGAGTTTTTAGGGCATATATATATTTTTTCAAAATCGAAACTAGAAGTAATTACTCAAACTGAAATAGTTTTTTCTCCGTTTCCTTGCGGTCATTAGTTTTTTCCAGTTGTCTGTTTGTGTTTTTTCAAGCAATTTTTCAATTTAGTTTTGAAATACGACTCACCCGATTTAAAAAAATTAACCCGGTTTCTGTTTCTTTTTCTATGCACTTTCTTGGAATGCAATGTATTTGTTGCATCGCAGTGGTGCGAAGCTGTGCTTCGCCTGTATGTAGAGCTTCTTTTTTGTCGTTCTCTCGCTTGTGTTTGAGAAGCGCAGCTTCTTATCATTTCTATCAATGACAAAGTGGAATGTCTGAGTTTTTGAAAAGCCATCTATCTGGTGGAGCAATGCGTACCCAAAAACTATCTTATTAGCAGGTACAACAGATTGAAAATGAAAAGGACTAAATTATGCAAAAGAGTTCTCAAATTTGATACATGCACAACTTAAATAGATCTCAAAATTACCACCTATTCTAACACATCACCGCTAACCTCTATACTAACCAGTCTGCAACGATATAAGAATAGAGAATTTCATCATTCAACTCAGAAGTCTCAAAAATTAGCAATATTTTGAGACACAGATGTATGACAACTGCTGTTGAACTGGTAGTTCTCGGTTTATGATGTTATATCTTAAGTGTTTTCTTCGAGCAGCTAAATTTTGGCTCAGTGGCCAAATCATTTGACCCAAGGCCCATAGATATCGATATGAATCCCGGTGGGAACTAATTTTTTTTATGCTGAACTGAGTTAAATCAGTTGGATTTAACACTTATTAAAATATCTCACTCATATGTTGACGCCATGTTTTATCAAATCAGAGGAAGAATTTTCATGTAAACAATTTTCTGAAACAAAATCATTGAATATTTAGCTGTGTTATTTCGTCTGTCAACTGACATTTTTTGAAATTGTTTATCAAATACCCAGTTTTTCGAAACTTTTTTTTGAACTTGGTTCTAAATTTCACAATCTTTTTTATTAAATCAGGTGTCGTCTGCCTAAGTTTAAGCAGCTTCGTCTTTTGGGTTTCAAGGCTAAATATAGCTGTCAAGTGTCGATGTTGTTGTGTTTAGCCACGAGGAGGCGCTTCAGGCATGCTCAAACCAAGCCCCAGAAACGTCACAACTTCGGTCGGTCGAAGCTAAAGTTAGTCTATTGGTTTTTTAAAAAAAAAACGGTATTCTTGGAACAGTTAGAAAGATGCAGAGTGGTATGTGGGGAAGGACAGTATGCGCAGTTTAGGCGGGGGACGTTGTTGTCAATTCGGTTGAGGCACGTGTTCAGGAAGAGGCTGTACCCGGATCTCAACTGGGAAAGGGTTCTCCTAGTGGAACGAGGGAGTGATTCTTCGGCGGGGGAGATTTCAGGTGGTCTAAGGGGCAGGATTTTCGCGGGTGAGGAATCTGATATGACCTGCCTAATTCTGAGCGTGTATATGCTTTTGAGGTAATTTAATTTAGTTGAAAATGGAAGAACTGCGTTCAATTCCACTTTTGAAAGGCGTAAGAGTATTAGTTTCGGAAAGGATAGTGTCAATTTCAGGGGGTATAAGCCCAGCAACGAAGGGCAGATATTCCGTGGGTGTTTAAAATAATCATGATAAAACGTTGCGGATTTGGTAGAGTAAAACTATTGAGGGCGAACTGTGACGTAAGTTAATGGTGGTGGTTAAACAGGCTGAAAAGTTCACTTTCCAGCCTGTTTGTAAATATTTGATTGCGCTCATCTTTGTGCACACTGTAATCAAGCGGAGAGCAGCTTTTTGAAATTTTTGCAGCTTGTTAAAAGAATTTTTACTCAATGGGGTTCGCATAGTCTAAAATTGGTCTCACCAAAGCTTCAAAATAACCAGTTAAGTTTCTTTAGACTGGCGCCAGGAAGTCTCGGATAAAGCCTTTGGGATAAAAAAAACCTGCGCGCGTAGTTTGCGGATGTTCGCTTGCTACGTTCTGCTTACTTTAGAAACGGGTCGAAGAAGACAAGAGGTGTTTTCAGATGTTTCTCGAGGGGCAGTATAGTTTCGTTCATTTCCACATTCGAATCAGTGGTAAAATTGCTGTTAAAAGAAAAACAGATTGGCCGAACCTTTAAAAGAGGGCTAATTATTTGTGTAATTAAGTTAGATAACTGGATAAGATTGATGAGTCCATTGATTAGTTGCTGGACTGGACAGAAGGGTGGAAATCATTAGCGTAAGACTGTAATTTTACATGGGGGGAGCATTATGGACGTAAAAATTAAAAAGCGTTGGGGATAAGACTGAGCCTTGACTGACGCCTGTTGGAACAATCCTAGATTTTGACAGCGCGTCCCTGAACATAGCGTTCGATTGACGCCCACTCAGGTAGTTTGACAACAAATTACTTAGGCTTTCCGGTACGGTGGTTCCATGAAAGATATCCAGAAAGCTTTTGATCAATCAAGTGTAGGCAGGACGGTCCTATTTGGGGAACTCAGTTGACTTAAATCGTCGCTAATAAAAATTCAAGAGTGGGGTGCTCTGGTGGTGGAATGCACCGGGCGAAAGTCATTTTGATGATCGGCGTTGGGTAGAAATTTTGTTAGGGTTGGATGGATCAAAGATTCTAAAATTTTGACTGCTGGGCCGAAATTTGACACTGAGCGGTAGGAGTCTGAATGTTTGAAATCTTTGTTTACTTTCGGATGGTGTACCACATAGATTTTTCCAAATTTGGAAATTTTTGTACAAAGAAAGAGAGAATAAAAATGTTTCTTAAACATGCTATTGCTATTTTTCCGGTATGTTTAAGGTGGACTGTGCATAGGTCATCCG